TATATATATATGTATATATATATGTATATATATAGTATATAATATATATTATATATATGTATATATATATATGTAATATATAGTATATATAATATGTATATATATATGTATAATATATGTTATAATATATTATATGTATATATATGGTATATATAATGTATATAATATATGTATATATATCGTATATATATTATGTATATATATATGTATATGTATATATATGTATATATATATGTATATATTGTATATATATGTCCCTATATATATGTATATTGTATATATATGTATATAATATATGTTATATATGGCTATATTTTCACACTCTTTCTCTCCACACAAATAATAAAAATATATTTCTCTCTCTCTCTTCGCTCTTGCTCTTTTCTCTAGTTTTTTTTATCTTTATTTTCTCCCTATTCGGTGTGTATATTATTATTCTTTAATGATTCTATAATTTATGCAGTTTCCAAGATGTAAGCAAGAGAAGAAAGGAAATAGAAATTAAAGTGCTTGCCCTTAATTCAGAGGAAGGCAACGGGCTTATCTTGTCGGTGAACATCCAGATGTTGCAAGTTATCTTTCACGGGATCGTTCCAACTGGCACAAAGGTAAGATTTTGGTGATTGGTTTTTTGTATTGATATATAGATTAATATATGTGACTATGTATATATTGTATATAATATATATGTATATATATTTGGGTAAGCTTATATGTGATCAGAAATGTGGAATATGATTAATTTTTATAAATGTTATTGGTATATGTTATGTTTTATATTGTATTTATTTTTTACTTATCTTTACTGTAAACTGCAGATAGGATATATGTAGTATATATATGTATATATATGTAATATATATGTAGATGAATCTTATATATTAATATTATATGGCATAGATTTAATTTATAATGAAACTAACCCCAAAGATATATGTATAATATATGTATTAATATTAATATATGTTTATCCAAATAGGTATATATATAATGTTTTATTATATATGCTTATATCTATAATGATTTTATTGAAAATTTAGGTGTATAGTTATATGTTTAATGTATAATTTGAAATAAAATTATAAGAAAAGTAAGATATGATAGATAGATAAAGAAAAAATAAATATGGTATATTAATATTATATATTATTGATATTATATTATTATATATATTGCATATCAGTGAGTATATATGTGGTTACTCAACATAGAAATCATATTATGTAATCCACATTCTTTGGCAGAACATTCTGTCAATAGTAATAATGAATATGCTAATATAATCAATAAATGTGTAAATAATTGAATAGATTTTAAAATAAGATGTGAAAGTTTCAGGATATTGAGACACGATTTCACATCTGTATAATAGATATAATATATGTAACGTTATTGTTGTTGATATATGTTGCCAAGGTATCCTTAATACTGTTTTTACCTGTATTACTATCATATATATATATATGTATTAATATGTAATATATATATGGTAATTATATATGTTTAGTAATTAAGTATGGTAATTTTATATTCATGGATGTACTATATAGAAATATTACTATTAATATGGCTATATAATACATATATATATGATATATATGATATTGATATATCTATATATGCTACCTAACACTTGTAATCTTTGATATTATTTATTACTCATGTTCATAACTGTTTTAATGTTTTGATAAATAAAATATAAATGTGGCTTTAGACTATCAGAGATCATTATAGCAGCTATGGTAATAAATGATTCTTATATGTATATGCGGTCGGAAGGGCAAATGAGAGATACTATGTGATTTAATATTCACTCTATGTTAATTTAATCCCTCATATATAATGTATATATATGATATATACTATGATGGGTTTATATATATATGTTATATATATGTATATTATAAGGTTTAGATAGAACTTGTTCAAGTGTATAAGATATGTTATAGCCACAAAATATCAAGTCTGTAATACTTTACTTTATGGAACTTGGAGGAATATAATATATTACGACCGCTTCATTACATTGATCCCAATATTCTCTCTAGTATGTTATATGTATATATAATGTAATATGTATTATGTATATGTATGTATATGTATATGTATGTATATGTAATATGTCATATGTATATGTATTATGTATATAATATATATTATATGTGATATATATATTGTATAGTATGTATATGTATGTATATGTCGGATATTATAATATATGGTATGATATAGTAATATTATGTATATATAATGTATATATATATGTATTATATCTGTGATATAATATATGGGTATTGTATGTGATATGCTATGTGTGATATGTATGTAGTTACTATTTGAATTGATATAGTGTAATAAATGTGAGTTATGATATATTAATATATATTGCCCTGATCTAAATGGCCCACCATCTAATGTGTGTATATAGTATGTGATATAATATATGTAGTTAATGTATACTAAAATCTATTTATATAATAATAATAATATATGTCCTATATCATATAGGTTACCATATATATATATAATCAAACACACACAGGAATTTAGTAAAGATGATACTTTAACATATTCGTCGTCTAAATCTAATGATCAGATTACGCTGCGCTGGTCCAGATTTGCAGTAATCTTGGGCTGTACACTTGCGACACGTCATAACAACCTGTTTATGTAGAAACCTATTTTTTAGTACAAAGGTTGTATTCACTTTACATATATTCCGATGTATTATATATTTAATTGATATGCGGATAAAAATCAGAAAAATAAGATCCGAAGTGTTAATGCAACTCAACCGGGAACAGATTTTTTTTTAATTAAATTTTACGAGATTAATGCACGTTATAGCTAACTGTTACCGTTGTCCTGCTCTAAGCAACATATGAACACTAGGAACCAGCGTTTCATAAAGCTCCGGTCTGGATCAAAGACATACATGACAATAAATTAAAATCAAGAAAGGAGAAAATACATATCCAAAATGTTTTTTTTTATTATCATTTACAAGCCAGTAACGCCCTCTGTCGATGTACTGTATTCATTTATTCATTAAGTTAATTTACAAAATCACCGCCGAGCTATGTGTAATATATACCTCGTGAATAATTGCAGAGGTAAATTCTGATATCAGTCGCAGGTAAGAAATGTGATTCACTCTCGCAAAATCACAGGGTATTCGAATTTTCTCAAAGAATGTACATGTCACGTGCAAGATGTCGAAGGAATCGCCTCAGACGACCTCTGCCTTTTCCAAGCGTTGTGAATTGTCACGTTCACCGAGTGACCCATAAATGTTTCATTCAAACCGCAGTTTTGAAGTGGCTTCGAGACTACGATATTAAAAAAAGAAGAAGTTTTAATGGGTTTCGAGCTGCTTTTATCGACGTTTCGAAATGCAAAGCTGAAAGTATCCTGCCACTCGCATCGTACGAGTTTTGGCAACGAGGGTGTTGCTTACTTCAAAAAATATCATTTTTTCACTTGCAAAGGAAGATATAAAACATATCAAGGATTGCATATCTTGTGGTCAGGTTTATGTCTGTTCCATTTGTTATTATTATTATTGTTATTATTATTGTTATTGATATTATTTTGTCTGACTATGTGTTTACTTGCTCTCTTTCTCTCTCTCACCCGTTCCCTTTATCTCTATAACTTCCCTCCTCCCTCTCTCCATTCCCCTCCCCGCCCTCCCTTCTCCTTCCCTCCTTCCCTCTCCCCTCCCTCTCTCCCCCATTCCCCTTCCCTCCCTCCCTCCCTCCCTTCTCCTTCCCTCCTTCCTATTTTCAAACTTTCTTTCTTTCCTCTCCTTTCTCCCCAAACAAACGCGTGACTCATACCCCTTACCCCTTACCCCCACGCCTTCGCAGGGAGGACGCCGCTGTGGCCCTTGTTCCTCCGGCTTCACAGGCAATGGCGAATCCTGCGTACCTGCTCCTCGACCCTGCCAGCAGTCCGCCTGCCATCCCCTTGCTACGTGCGTCGAGAATCCGCGTGAGTGTCAGTTAATGTGGGTTTGTGCGTGGGTGTGTATGTGTGTGTGTGAGTGTGGTGTGTGTGGTGGTGTGGTGGTGGTTTTGGGGGGTTTGTGTGTGTGTGTTGTGTGTGGTGATGTATTTTATTTTTCTTTCTTTCTCTATTTTGTTATTTTTGCCCAAGAGCGTGTGCGTTCTCCGGGGCGGTTATAATATTATGATTAGAATTTTATTTGAGTGTTTTTTTCTCCATGAAACAATAATCTGTATGATTATTGCTCGTGCGCCTTCGCTCTTGACCGATAAGAAACCCGTCTTGACCGATAGGAAATCTGTTTAGAATTTAATTATACGTGAATTAATGAGAATCACTAATTTAATTTTAGGGGCAAACAAATCCTATCTCACAAGAATTTAGAAAATCATGATTATAGAAAAGTAAAAAAAAAAAAAAAAATCCTTGTTTTGAAATCAGTATCCCCAATCAACCCCACCCCCACCCACCTACCCACGCACACATACACTCCCTTTCCGAATCTAGGCTATAAACAACCCTTATTCACCCTTTAACTGTTTTTTCAATATGGCTCCGTAATATTGAGGGAGAAAATGTGAATATGAACGGTTTCCTGCTCAAAATAACTGCCCCTGAGTCAGTTGTATACACGTGTCTTTCCCGCACTCCATCACGGTTTGCAAAATAGCACGTAATAAGGTTTAGTCTGTAGAGCCCAGCGCGGTATCCCCCGACACAACTCTCGCCAGAGCCTTCCACGAAATCGGCAATGATACACAAAAAAGAAAGAGAAAAATAAGAAAAAAAAAAAAACAGCAGTTTGCATGAAAACAAGAGCGGAGAAGCATAGTTGATAAGGGACTTCGATTTAAGGATTGCAACGGGCTTTCCTTATGCTCGGGCACGTCTGCTCGGACATCTTGGTCTGCGGTTGATGCTGCTCTTAACACAGGAGGGAAATGATCGTGTAAATTGGTGGTTTTCACACTGTAGGCCATGACCCAATGGGGCTCTCTATTGGCATTTCTCAGGGGAGCCACGGGCATTTAAATACTGTTAGATGAAATAAAAAAAGGGGAAAGGGAAATACAAGAGAAAGCAAAAATATATATGTGCATATGTGCAATGTATGTGTGTGTGTGTGTGTGTGTGTGTGTTCTTTTCGTTTTTTTTTCTTCTATTTTTCGTATTATTTTATTCAACACGCACACGCACACACACGCACACACACACACCACACACGCACACACACACACACACACACACACACACACACACCACACACACAACACACACACACACACACACACACACACAACACACACACACACACACACACACACACACACACACACACACACACACACACACACACACAGGGGGGTAGACAAAGGCAGACAGATAGTGAGATAATGCGTTTACAAAAGCTTTTGAAAACTGTTCTATAACGACCCATTACACGGTTTCCAAGGCCAGCGTACCACGAGAATCTGGGTTTGCCAAAAGTGGGATATTGGGTCAAGACGTTTGAAAATCACAGATGCATATTATTCCAAATGTATTTTTTGTCATGTAAATCGTTAGTATGCATATAACTGTGTGTGTGAATATATATATATTATATAATATATATATATATATATATATATATATATATATATATATATGTATGTGGTGTGTGTGTGTGTGTTGTGTGTGTGTGTGTGTGTGTGTGTGGTGTGTGACTGCGAGTGACTGAGTGAGTGAGTGAGTGAGTGAGTGAGTGTGTGAGTGTGTGAGTGTGTGAGTGTGAGTGTGAGTGTGTTTGTATATATATATATATGTATATATATACATACATATACATACATACAATACATACATACATAACATACCATACATACATATATATACATACACACACACACACACACACACACACACACACACACACACA